ACCATTGTATAAATTGTGTAGACGGTTTCATATTATTACATACCGTATGTAGTACATACTGCTATTGTTAAAGACCATGTAAAGTCTGTTCTGCACATGCATTCTGCAGGCCTACATTCCAATGATCGGGAACCGACCATTGGAATGTTATTAATATTTTGCACCTTCCAAACTTTCTAGAATTGAATCTCTGGTCTGTATTCATTTACAAACATAGCAAACCAGAAGAATTAAAATTCAGCATAATATATATGATATATCTAATATAGCACTGGGTTCAGAATGTAAACAAAGGGTTTGTTTACATAATTACATACTTTACATGGCCTTTAATGAAACCTTTTTTGGCTACTAACACCAATGTTTCTGACAGAGTTGTACAGGTAATACTGTAAACAGAAACAATATATTATATCACCAAACAATTCTATCAAACAAGTTGCAAAAGAATCCAAATGCTGTTTCAGCTGTTTAATTGTCACATTCAAACCATGATGATTCATACATTTACAGTTCAATTAAAAATCCCAAATCTTGTATAAACACAGTCCTAGCATACGTGTAGGCTTGTAAGTCTTGTACGCTTGAATTTCTTTTCAATAATAACACTCCAATATAGTAGATCAAGGACATATGCCATCATAATTTCCCATCAATATACTCACTCAGAGTGACCCAAGAGTATGAATTATTACCATAACGAAGTCTGTTATTTTGCCCAAATGAATTAAAGTATGCATAAATCAACTCCTTAATCCCTTCACCACTTTTTCGGACGAAAAGCAACAAAAAATTCGTCGAAATAAGCAAATTTTCAGGCAAAATATTAGCAAATATATCGTATTTACTCATATTGGCCGCGCATGTGAACGCCACAGGGGGTATGGGTCCAATAGCTTATGGATCGACCAATCAGGATCGTTTTTCAATCCCGTGTGGCCAGAGCCACTCAACGATGGCTCTGGGTACGAGATTGGAAAAGACTGGGACTAGGTGATTTGGGGGCGGGGCGAAGGAAGCAAGCCTAGAAGGCCTAGTGGATTTCCCAACAACAAGGCCAAAACTGCCCTGAAACTGCCCTGGTTGCGAAATGCCCAATTATTGCGTTCTCGAACAGAATTATTTGCAACTTAACAGCGAATTTAAACCGATACAGGTAAAATAAACTCATTTATAGTATAAACTTACTATTTTTATTTGTATACACGTCTAGAGAATCGGGTTTTTTATCATAAAGTTCGAAGCAACACTATTTAATATTTAATATGTTGACAAAGTGTAGCGAAAGCACAAAATGAGTCAAAATATATACCAAAAGTAGAATCTTTCATGAAATTTTGTCTTATACACAACTACATTAATATATATTTTCTCAATTGATTTTGGCAAGAAGCAGTCTTGTGTTTGTAAAATATACAAAATAAAACGGATACATATATTATTAGCCCGTACAGTACTGTATATAAAAACGTACATTGTTTACAAATGGTATATCCGTAATATTTGAAGAATAATTTCAAAATCCTCATTCCCAATTCGCAAATATAGTTATTCAAAGCAAAACAGTAGATTGTCTTGCGAATAAAAGAATTATTATTTTGTGCCGTTTCGCTACACCTTGTCAACGTATATAAATAGTGTTGCTTCGAACTTTATGATAAAAACCCCGATTTTCTAGACGTGTATACAAATAAAAATGGTAAGTTTATACTATAAATGAGTTTATTTTACCTGTATCGGTTTAAATTCGCTGTTAACTTGCAAATAATTCTGTTTGAGAACGCAACAATTGGGCATTTCGCAATCAGGGCAGTTTCAGGGCAGTTTTGGCCTTGTTGTTGGGAAATCCACTAGGCCTTCTATTTTTTCGCTTGCGTCAGGCTTGTGTCCTTCCTCCGCCCCGCCCCCAAATCACCTAGTCCCAGTCTTTTCATGTGAAAAAGCGCTGAATATTAAAACAATATAAATAAAAATAGATGGCCTAGGTCTAGGCTGCGCGAGAGGGAGATAATACGTTATCGACCGGCGAATAACAAAAAAAATCACGTGAAGATGCGACCTATGGACATGCCTAGTACGTAATTAAAACTTTCGCTGTAAGTAACTGCAGTGTATCCAGTGTTTAATATAACGTTTTAACAATAAAATATTTCATGTATTTACGTTCATTTGTTTCTTTGACTATTGATATATAATAAAACACTTATTTACTGAGACCGAGGGAAACAGTGTGTTTTGTGGACCCTCGACCGTCGATGCTTCCCTCGGCGAATTATTATTTCCCTCGGCGATTTATTGTAGCCTTATTGAAAATATTTTTAAAAAAAAAACATGGAAAAGGTGAATTACTATAGATTAAAAATAATTATTAAACTATGATTTAAATTATCGACGTAGAATGCTATTTCGTTGTATTAAATTTCAATAGTATTAATGAGAATTTTGTTTGATATTTTTATAAATATATTTCATGTTATTTAGTATATTTCATGTTATTTAAGTTTTGCACACAATACTGTATAATCAGTCTGAGTACAATGACTCCGTTTCAATTTGAGCATATATAAAAAATTGAGTATTTTGATAGCATGGCCTTTCACGCTATGTAATATAAACGCCTGATAAATAATCAGTGCGAGCACAGCGGCTCCAAAATCACAACAAATAACAGAATATAAGGTGAATTAAAAACAGCAAAGGCACAAAGCTATACCTACCTCGATCTAAGTCGTCTGAGGCGCTCGATTATGTAAATTTTCGGCGAACAATTACAGTTTAAAACTTTCCTTGCATTCGCTCGGCAAAAACGTTGAGTGTTCATATCACATGATCAGTTGTTCACATGATTCAAAATTTATATACTATTAATTATGCTTATTATGCTCGTAAAATTTCTAGAACCACTGAGTATTTTAACAAAATACAGTAGGTCAATTTCACATGAGACATTGAAAATGGCAAAATTGCAAAATGCAACATTATGTGGTGCTAACCACATGTTTCCATAGTTAACACATTGGATTATCATAAATCAAAACGATTTTTGAATTTTGGCCCATGCCCACTCTGCAGCAAACCGTCGAATCTGCACTTGTTTGTTGCTATTGTTCTGTGGATAAAGTGTGTTTATTTAAAATAATTATAACTCAGTCACTTTAACTTTGAAATAAGTTATATTTCTTAACAAACACAGTCTAACGTTCACATATCATGATGACAATGTTAGATCAGATAATATCCAGTGTTGCTGTGATTTATGGTGCATCGAAGTTTGGGTAAGAGAAATGTAATGTCCGCAACAAAAAAACAATTCAACTTATTTTTCAGCCAAACGTCTAGCTCTTTTGACATTATATTTCTGCTGCTTTTTTAAAATGGTATTAACATTATTTAAGACTGGAAAAAGACAATAAAAAGTATTAACATGTCTTGAATAATGTGTTGCGGACATTACGTTGCAGACATTATCATTTTTGAAATTGGAGAATTAGATGCTTATATAATTGTCTTGCTTGAATTCTATAGTTATTTTAAGCTTGATGACTTAAAAATAGAACATTAAAAGGACTATGGGACCCTTACTTTTAACTATAATCACTCCGTGCTGTATACACAATCACAGTGACACAATTCATCATGGAAAGTTTCCAAGTTACATATAATGCCACTACCGTATACTGCCATTGTACCATCAGTTTTGTAAGGCATATGTTGTTAAGAGTAAAATCATGTTTTAATTCATGTTTGTTTTGATCATCTTCCACTAAACCCAGGGGTGTTAATTATCCCCACCAAATGTAGTAAATGCAAAACTGTCAAACAGAATGGTCTACAAACATGACACTTTATTTGCTGCACAACCCGAGTCATTGCCTGAGTCTATGCGCAACAAATATTGCACTTTTGAAAGATATTATTGTCAACAGAAGATTATATACTGTAATATATGTGACCATGATTTCATCCCAGGATTTATGGTGGTATACACATGGGCATACAGGAAGGAAAAAATTAGGGGGGAGGAAAGAAATTTGCCTGACTTTTTCAGATTGTGCCCGCGTTGTTAAAAAAATTTCCGGAGAAACTTTCCAAAATTGTTGTCGACGGTAGAATTCCTATTAGATAGATAGCATATTTCCCACAAAATTGACAGAATTCCCCACAAAATTGACAGAATTTGTCCCATTTATTTTTATAATAAGCCAATATTGCCCAAGTGTGAAGCGAATATTGCCCGACTGGCTTTGTTTGCCCAACAAACTGGGCAGCGGGAGCTGCCTCCCCCCCCCCTCGCCCGGTACGCCCATGGGTATACAAATGTAAATAGAATTAAGCTAGAATGCCTGTTATGTGGACTAGAAACATTGAAGTGCATAATCAGTCACCCAGTTTTGATTTCCTATCATTTTTAATACAGATTGCTATACAATCCCAAAAATGTAATGTCCGCAACAGTTTCAGTGTAATGTCCGCAACACAAACTTTGCACTATAAAGGCTGCGCAAGGGCATTGTAGAACATCTCGTTTTCATATTTTTTAACCCCAATTATCACTGAGAGCAGGAAGTGTTTTAGTTCCTTTGATACCTTTCAAAGTTCACAGGAAATTACGTTTTAAAAACATCACTTCAATGTGTGGTTGATTTTGCTGTAATGTCCGCAACAGTACTTTGACTTTTTATTACAAGAATTGATTACGAGGGAATTTTGTTTTATTTTATGAAATCTTAAGAGGTCCCCTTAAGGTTTTCTATGACAAAGTTCCCAGATCTGAAACTGTTGCAAACAGGAAACAGAGCATGTTTTGTATTAATTGTTTTTCTGTGAATGTAATGTCCGCAACGTGAAATTGCCCAGTACAAAACAAGTGAAACTCCAAAAATCAATAACATTTTTATTTATCATAAACACTCGTCCGAAACACTCGGTATCTATCACATGATTTACCACCGCTGGTACAACGCACTCAACACAAAATTTAGAGCTATATGAAAGTTGCATGCCCATATATGGACATGCAACAAAATCCATTCAGTCTGTGGATACGAGTATTGGAGTGCTATGTTATCTTTGAGTATTGGTCATCTGTTCTCACTTCTCACAAAATCACAGTCCTGACAATCAATGTTAAGAACTATACATCTTATTCGGATACGATAACCCCACCTATCTTGTTTCAGGCTGGCAGCGAACGGGAATTTCGCCAGCGCTAAGAAGACATTTGACAGCCATTTGCCAGTACTTGCAGTCATGACAAGCTGAAATTTTTAGCCTGGTCTTGCATTCAGACAATATACCAAATAGACAAAGGTGGCAAGCACCACCACCACCTTTAAGGGCACTATAAGTTTAGTGGTGGGCAATGGCCCACCACTCAACTACAGTGCCCTTAAAGCTTAGACCTTCCATTCTACTATTGTATACATCTTTCCACAGTGGAGCATGTTGTTATGGCAGCTTGATGTACATGCTGATTTATGGAAAAATAATAGGTATGAATTCCTGGTATTTCTGACTGGCGTAAAATACTAATAAAACACTAGCTTAAGTCTCTGACATATAAGTAAGGTCTATGGAATTAAGGTATCAGTTTACTGTCACCTAAATTTTCAAAAGTTGAGGAAACTTTTTTCATTATAATTTTGAAGCTGTCAAATTTGAATAAATATTGGCTGAAAATTCAACAAATTTCGACCGGAAATAGGAACATTTTTGACGAGTGGCCCGACGGTAAACTGATATCTCAATTCCATCAGTCTAGTGAATTTTCTACTACATAGGTCGAGATATAGATAGAGGGGATGGCATTCTAGAAGACTTCAATCAATCACTTGATCAATGATCGAACGATCACTCCAATAATGATGCTTGTGATGTTACTCTGAGTGTATATCCACACCGGGCAAGTTTGAAAAATATGCCTGACCACGGTGGGAATCGAACCTACAACCTTTGGAATACCAGCCCAATGCTCTGCCAACTGAGCTATGCGGTCTGGTTGACCAGCTCAGTTGGCAGAGCATTGGGCTGGTATTCCAAAGGTTGTAGGTTCGATTCCCACCGTGATCAGGCATATTTTTCAAACTTGCCCGGTGTGGATATACACTCAGAGTAACATCACAAGCATAATATTCACCTGAGTACATTACACCAACACAGAAAAAAATCACTCCAATCACTCTGTGGGCAGGTTTTAAAAACTAAAGCATTTGAAACAGTGTTTAAACAATAAACTGCTAATATCTTACCCACTTTCTATCCTGCAACAAACTACACACACATTACAATGTTGATCGTATACTTGCTTTGAAATCACGTGTTAATACAAACACCTAACTTCGCGACTAAAATCATCTAATTCGCTGATCTCTTGAGCCATCATAGAAAAGTTTACAAAAGCACGTTATTGAACTTACCCATGGCTGTGCATACGACCCATATTGGCGAGCAATTTCTTTTAAAAAACGTCGAGAAATGTAGATAAAAGTCCCTAACACCAATAAAGATTGAAGAAATCTTGAAAAGAACGAATCATGGAGTTGGCCATTCCCGTGATCCCTCGCTCGCGTATTTGTACCCAGTCCCGTGCGAGTGAAACAACGGATAATGGAGCTCTGGAGAATCCACACAATTAGACATTATGGAAATTATGGAAATTGAAAAAGAATTTTAAATAAGAAGATTATTTGACTTGTATTAACAAGTGGAAACGAAATAATACAGAATAAAACCATTTTTTTTTCAAATATATGAGGTTGGTATTATATTTGTAAAATCATTACTTGTATTAAAGTACTGTAAATATAAAATAACTGTACGTCTGTACCCTCTTGGCTCTCGATAACCTCAGACTCTTTGACTCTCTCTCTCTCTCTCTCTCTCTCTCTCTCTCTCTCTCTCTCTCTCTCTCTCTATATATATATATATATATATATATATATATATATATATATATATATATATATATATATATATATATATAAAATTCAATAATCAATTATCAATATTTAATATGGTGGCATTATGGTGGCTACAGGTCCTGCATGTCCTGTTACCACAGAGCACTTGCCTTCACTGTCTTCACATTGTGGCGACCCTGATTGAAACCAGTTGCATTACCCCACATTAACATATTTCAACCATTTTGTTGCTGAAAATTTCAGTGCCAATTCACTCTTTTTCATATTCCAACAACATGACTGCACTGACGTACCGTACAATTGACCTATGCATGTATTTTTGGTTGAAAAAGTAAATCTTGTTACAACCTTACCTATTACCTATGGTATTCCAGGGTGCATTTTAAGTGATATACTCTGATGATCTTCGGCGTGAGCTTGGCAAATTACAATACTATCTATAGTTAATATTGGCATATCTTCAGCGTAGAGTTAACATGGATGCACCTTCGATGATATTCCCTGGTTATGGACAAAAAGTTCCTCAAAAATTTAAATGCAGTGGCGAAGGTAGCCATGACAACAGGTAATGCCATGCTAATTTTTAATGATTTGCACATCATTCAAATTATGTTTAGAAATATATTAATGTCTTTAACCTATTCAGGTGCAGGGTTATTAGCATAGCATGACCAGTTGCCATGGCTAGCTTCACCTGACGACTTTTTTAAACGTGCTAGTTATGAATTTTTCTAAATTTTTGTTTCATTGATTTGAGAATTTGGATTTTGAGCAGCCTCGTCGAAAGGAATTTCACATTGTTGATCGATCAAGGGATATCATCCTTCAGAAAATATTTGCAGAGTATTATTTTGAAAAGTATTTTTGCATAAATAACGGCTGTAAAATTGACTTAATTTTTAAATATTGTGTCAATATTTTCAAATATTGGATAAAAACCTCAATAAAAACTTGAAATTTTTAAAAATGAATTCCCTCAAAAACGTCCTTGGAGGTCCTAATTTCCTTAGTTTAAAGGAAAGTTCAAGTACACTGGTAAGTAAGTGGTTCCACCAAATTCGGGAGTGTCTGTTTCATATTACTAAATATGGACATGTTTTTATAGCCCACGCACAGGAACATCCCCACGCGTGTAGGTCCACGAGAGAACGGTGGGAAATCAAGTGGGAAATTCGTTCGTTTGTGTCACACCTACCTGGAGGCAAAAGCTTACAAAGTATTTTGTAGCTTTCCAAGATGAATCCGAAGTGTGCTCGCTGTGATAAGACAGTTTATCCTGTAGAGAAACTGAATTGTCTGGATAAGGTATAGATTATACAACGTTCTTTCCTGAGGACTGCACACGAGCAGTTTGTAATTGTACATATACGAATTGTTTGTTTGGCTGCCTTGTTAATAATATTGATGTCTTTGTACACTAGTACTGGCATAAAAAATGCTTCACTTGCGAAGTTTGCAACATGAAGTTGACTATGAAGAATTACAAAGGCTACAACAAGAATCCCTACTGCAATGCGTAAGTGTCATAAATTGTTGATTGATTTGGGGGCTTCGTTTTAATATATGACTCGAATTTCAAACTACAGGAAATGAGGCGAGATTTTCGCATTTCCAAGTAACTATTATTAACTAGATTCGTTAAAGTTTAATGCAAACGATGCTGAAAGGGAATATTGTATGTCAAAATATGCCAAATATTCCGATTTTGCCGTTGTGTATATAGTTGGGAGTCTACACTGCTTACCAGTACATGTTTGCCATTTTGCCCAAGTGAAACAATTTAATGGAACGTTCTAGCGATTGAATGCAGAGAATATCACACAAGTTAATTTAGTACATGCTTTTGTGCATGTATATAGACCATATATATACTTCCCATTGATCATGAGAGAATATTAATAGAATGACATATTGATATTTATAACAGAAGTAGAAATATCAACAAATTTTGGCATTTGCTTGTGAATCCATAATGCATGTACATATTCATTTAATATTCAGCTATGGGAAAACATCGTAAACATGTAAGTATGAATGATCATTGATTATCAGGAATACTGATATTTGGATCTAATGTGATGAACATTCAGAGATAAAGACTTTTGTTATGTTATTTGTATAAAAACTGATGTTATAAACACACATTATTTCTGTTTGTGACAAGTTGCATGTTTTAATTAATTTGTTTACTAGCCAATTAGTATGTAATGATTGCTTGATCAGATTGAAACTATACCTTTCAAATATTTTGGTTTAGTTTTGAATACTTGAATTAGTTCTTCTCCAAATTTTGAAACCACAGGGGGGTGGGGCTTACAGGGCTGCAAATTACTGTCGGACATCGGCTAAATTTGGCAAATGTCCGAGCAAAAGTAATTTTGATTGGGCATTGGTCTCATCACAAAAACAATTGTCACATTATGTTTGCGATGTTACTCTGAGTGCATATATCCACACCGGGCGAGCTTGAAAAATATGCCCGGCCACGGTGGGAATCGAACCTACGACCTTTGGAATACTAGCCCAATGCTCTGCCAACTGAGCTACGCGGTCAGGACGGTTCGAGTAAGTGACATTTCGGAACAGAATCTAGTTCCTTCGATACCAATGTAATCTAGTAATATGAAATCATATTGCTAGATTCTGTTCCGAACCATCCTGACCGCGTAGCTCAGTTGGCAGAGCATTGGGCTAGTATTCCACAGGTCGTAGGTTCGATTCCCACCGTGGCCAGGCATATTTTTCAAGCTTGCGCAGTGTGGATATGCACTCAGAGTAACATCGCAAACATATTATTCACCTGAGTTCACAACACCAACACAGAAAAATTCATATTACTAGAACACATTGGTATTGAAGGAACTAGATACTGTTCCGAAATATCACTTACTCGAACCGTCCTGACCGCGTAGCTCAGGTGGCATAGCATTGGGCTAGTATTCCAAAGGTTGTAGGTTCGATTCCCACCATGGCCGGGCATATTTTTCAAGCTTGCCCGGTGTGGATATGCACACATCGCAAGTATTACATCGCGAGTAACATCGCAAACATTATATTCACCTGAGTACACAACACCAACGCAGAAAAAAAAAAGAAAAATTGTCACATTATACTTTTTTTTTCTGACAAAATCTGATTGCAAATTCACTCAATTTGCATTTTGCAATAAAATTTATGAGGCATTCTAGCATTTCACTTAAAGGTGATCTACAGTCCGTATGTAAACAAAGCCTTTGTTTACATTTTTTTGTCCAAAATATTGAGCTTTATTCGACAACTATTTATATTTTCAAGCTTGTAGAGTATAATAAATGATCAAGAAACAACAATCAGGCTTTTCAAGAACTCAAAACATAGTCAAACTGTTTGTATCATAAAAAGTGGGCTCATTTGTGCACATGCGCAGATCGGACTGTAGATCACCTTTAACGTTACGCCAGAATGGCTATACATACTTGTCTCGTGACTTATATTATATCTTGTGACGTATGTAGGTCCGATCAAATGTAGTGATGTTGGTTTTTGTCCGACCAAAATTAAAAGTGTCGGACAAATGTCCTGTCAAATATTTATTTGCAGCCCTGGGTTATATTTGGAATAAGGTGAGCGTTAGTGCATGTGGTGGGGCGTAAAAAAAATACCTGTGGTTCCAGTTCCCGACCGACCCTATTTTTTTCTGCCGACCCTATTATTTTTTCAACACGATTGACCATGCGACCCTATTTTCTCCGTGCGGTTACGGGCTGCTGCCAAAATGGCGTCTGTTGTCACACTAATTATTGAAAAAAACATGCAAAAAATATTCAAAAAAAAATTAGTTCCGACCTACCAACCCTAATTTTTTCGTGATATGAAACCGGAACCACAGGTTTTGTTTTTTTACGCCTGGGCTTATACACGGGGGCTTATATTCGGAGGGGGGCTTAATTATATTCGGAGGCTTATGGTAGTAGGCCAACAGGGTGGGTACTGGGTAGTGCAGTAATTAACCCTGCTAACTAAAACTCCCAAGGGAAGTGAAAAATTGTTTGAGTTACGGGGGGTTTCAAGTTAACAGGGTCGTGGTGTTGATTTTGTTTATTATGTTCCCTATTATTTTTTCAACAACGTGCCAAAATGGCGTCTGTTGTCACACTAATTATTGAACCAAATTGCCTAAATTCGTACATAGGAAATACACATCTCTAGTTAATATTGATGTTGTCGGGACTTTACTGCAAATCGCCCAGCAAAAAACCGCCAAAACCATGAAAAAAAAATTTAAAAAAAAGTTTATTTCCGACCTATCGAGCCTAATTTTTTCACGATATGAAACCAAAACCACAGGTATTTTTAGTCTTTATTGACGTTTATTAATATAATTATATACTCAGTCTGATTAAATTGTTGTTGTCTGAGTAGCAATCCAAGCTTCCGACTTCTCATTGTGCTACGTTCTCACATTTTGATGCGGGGGAGATTGGATTTAGTTTAGTTTGGGTTCTACTGTTGTTGTACCTGTAGTGAACTACTTTTTCTGTATATTAACCAAGTGTATCCCTCATAATTGGCCTGTTTTTTTTTGTGTGGCAGATTTGGAGATTTTTTGCTGAGGCATGTCGGCACAAATTCTAATTAAATGTGGCTTGGTGATTGCTTCAGCAATTGCCAAGGCAATTCCGCAACCACTGACTACACCCGGAGTTTCACAAATTTGTGTACATTTGTTCAGAAATAATTGGTTATATGTTGTGCAAAAATCCTGTAATCAATCGGGTATTGTGACATTCCGCGCTATTAATGGTTTAGTATTGATCAGATTGAATACAAAAATGCACTATAAACCCGATCGATGAGGAACAATTTTTGGTGGGATGTTGATATTATCAACACAGCATGGGCCCAGGGACTGGGTACTTAAATAACTATAAAATGTCGATTTAAGGCATCTTGTTGGCTGCAAACACAGTTTTGTATAAATTGTGTGTTTAGAGCTCTCATTCTTTTACACATCTGGATAGAGATTAGCTGATTAATTGGAAAATAATCAAGCCGGAAGCAGGGGGCGCCGGCCTCCCCTTTATGAGGGAACCTGGATGTCAGGGGTGGGATTAGTGGGTTTTGAAAAAAGAACATCAACGTGAAGGCTGACATTGCGTAATGAGATGAGCAGCTAAACAATTTATTGTTTCCGGCCGCTTCAATGGCTCCAGCTTGGAGATTCGATTACGTCGCTCAACCAACGAGACATCTAAGAAACATCAGCGGCCTCTTGTAATTGCACAACAATGTGCACAACTGCATTTTGAAAGGTGTGACGTCAAACTCCGCTTTATGTAGCTGTGTGTAAGCCATTATTTCGCAAAATATTGGGGGGGGGGGCGAATTTAGGGTGCCACAATATGACCACCGTTTGTTGTTGGAAATCTTACATCCAGTTCTTTAAACTTTTCATGCAATATTTAATTTTATCTATGGCCTACCATGCTTTCACATAATTGAAATATAATTTTCACGGCTTTATTACACAGTTTAGCCTGCGTGACAGGCCCTCAATTTTATGGGGGGCCTGATCTGCAGCGGGCAGGATTTTGGCGGGCCCCTGCCACGCAGGCTATACACAGTTATGCATCTATCATGCACAGTTTCACAAATGAAATTCACAGTTTCACAAATGAAATTCACGGGGGAGGATCCCCCTCCATCCTCCCCTGGAGCCCGCCAAAATCCTGCCCGCTGCAAATCAGGCCTCCCGTAAATTTGAGGGCCTGCCATGCAGGCTGTGGTTAGCTTAAATAAAAGTGCGATCACTGTTCGTGATTCGTTCTTTTAAAATGATTGTTCTGTAGTTGTGAATTACAATTCTATTATCTCAATTCTTTTAGACATTACCCAACAACAAAGTTCACAGCAGTGGCTGATACTCCCGAACAAAGACGACTAAATAAGCAGACAAAGACGCAAAGTCAGGTAAGACCTAACAAAATGCATGGTACACTATTAATATTTATTATATACATGATAAAATTACTGCAATCTGATCAGTTAAGAGGAGTGCAATTATTTCATTAATTATTTATCTTCTGTAATCAGTGGCAAATACTGCAATTTCATTGGTTTACAGGAGTGCGATTTGAGCATTAATCGCACCTTTTCTGAGCTGTAATCGCACTCTTGTCTACAGCCAATGAAAAACAGTCTAGTATTTACAACTAGCCAATCAGCATCCAGGATACAAACTTTGAATTTTATTCTCTTTATTGCTGTAAAAAATTCCAAAATGGAGGAATTCACAAATTTTGACCTTTTAATTTTTAAATCAGCCCTCGAAAACCGTCAAAATTGAGGTCGGAAAAAAAATGCCGACCTAAACCTGACCTAGCTCGGTACATCTCGGCATTTTTAAAAATCTGTTTCCATGTCTTGGAGCACTAGTAGCCTGCACTAGTAATCACGTATTTACGAATCATTGAAAAGTATAAATGTCACGAAGCCTTTTCTATTAGAGTTTTACCTAAATTATATCATAAATATACACGTTAATTCTTAAACCTTACACCAAAGTGCATCGAATTCTATAATCGCTGACTTTTTAACAGCTATAAGCACCAAAAAAGATTATTAAAGTGAATTAAGGTCGGCAAAACATTGCCGACATGGGAGGTTGATAGGTCGGCATTTACTGTAGGTATCTGCCGAATGCAGATCTCGTTTTCGAGGGTTGTTAAATTATATATTTTCTGACGAAAATGACCTACCTGTTCATCCAGCAGAAGACACCGAACTAAACACAACCAGGAGTTATATTTCATGATCAATCCAATTCAGATGATTAATTGGACTAAAGAACTTCACTATTTTGAACACGTTATAAACATACAAACATGGCTTCCCAATTGTGTTTTGAATAATTCAAACAAATGTTGTCATGTGATTATACCGGAAATAATGCCCGGAAGTTAATAATATGTTAATTTATTATATATGATAAACAATAATTCAAAATTGTACTATTTCACCTCTGCTATTTCACTAAGAATTGTCGTGACAAAAATTTAATAATTATATTGAACTTCAACAAATTGTATTTTTCTGCTTTTCCCCCTTAAACAGTTTGATTACAGAAGATAAATAATTAATAAGTAATAGAACGAATTAAAGTCGTACTATTAATGCCATAATCATACTCGTGATTAACAAATCAACCTCCCGCTACGCGGTCGGTTGATTTTGTAATCACTCGTATGATTATGGCATTAATAGCACTCCTATTCGTTCTATTACCATCATTAATTGCACTCTCAAGGAGTGCAATTAATGATTTTCGTGATGGCTGGGGGGAGCGGGAAATCAAAAGACAAAACAACAATAATCCAATATGGCGGCGAAATTTAAATAAGTATAAATAACAAATTTGGACGAATTTAAATAAATTTTGGCACACGAATGAGTTTAAAAAACATGGTATGGCAAAAAGAGCCTATGGAAAAGTCCTGGAAACAGTTTTAAGAAATAATCGCGGCGGGATGCAGCGAAACGTGACTATGACCCGGTATGTAAGTCTGTAATACAATTTATAAAGATTATCTTACTCTAAAATATGTTGTTTGAGTTTGAATCATGTGTTCTAGTTTAAGTTATGTACCTTTATGAGTTTATGATCATTTCCCAAGTTTGTTTATACCAAATTATCAATTGCACTCCTTCCTATGAGATTACCTATACTTATTCTAATGGCTGCCACGCGAAATATTTAAGAAATAGAAAACATTTTCCCCATGTTTGTATACAGTTATATAATCGCACGATTAAGCCCTCAAAAATCGTCAAAAATAGGTACGCAATGCGTACATGTTGCATGCCTTCTGAAACTTATGATGAGATATAGCGCTTACAACCTTTGGTACAACTGGCGTGAATCTTAAAGGTGATCTACAGTCCGTATGTAAACAAAGCCTTTGTTTACATTTTTGTGTCCAAAATATCGAGCTTTATTCGACAACTATTTATATTTTCAAGCTTCTAGAGTATAATAAATGATCAAGAAACAACAATCAGGCTTTTCAAGAACTCAAAACATAGTTAAACTGTTTGTTTCGTAAAAAGTGGGCTCATTTGTGCACATGCGCAGATCGGACTGTCGATCACCTTTAAAATATTGAATCAACAAGTTTACAGTCAATTTCAGCTGACTTTTCATCGTAAGATTCCGAACTTCGCAAATATATTCGTTGCCAAGTTCAAAAGTTCATAATGAAATTCACAAACAGGTTTGTAAACTGGGCATTTCATTGGCTGGTTTGATTTAATAGCCAATCAGAGGCTTTGTTTACAAACTTGTTTGTGAATTTCATTATGAATTTTTGAACTTCGCAACGAATTTGCGAAGTTCGGAACGAAGTTCGGAATCTTACGATGAAAAGTCAGCTGAAATTGACTGTAATAATATTGAAAAATAGCTGTTATGTTATTTATTGAAAAAATAGCTTTTATGTCAAAATAAGAAACTTAAAGGTGATCTACAGTCCGATCTGCGCATGTGCACAAATGAGCCCACTTTTTATGATACAAACAGTTTAACTATGTTTTGAGTTCTTGAAAAGCCTGATTGTTGTTTCTTGATCATTTATTATACTCTAGAAGCTTGAAAATATAAATAGTTGTCGAATAAAGCTCAATATTTTGGACACAAAAATGTAAACAAAGGCTTTGTTATAGATCACCTTTAAGATTCTCACACGATAGGCAATGTTTTTATGAGCGACCGTTCATCGTTAGTTGCAAGCGACGGTAATAACAAGGTCAAGGTCGGTCAAGGTTTTATCGAAAGCGATTGACTGCTAGATTTCCTTAACAAATTTATAACTAAATAACGTTATTTCCTATAGATTTAGCTTTATTGTAACTTTGAAAGGTATAAAAAACCGTGGAAACGGTGAATTACTATAATAGATTGAAAATGGTTATTAATTAAACTATGATTGAAATTGTCGAAGTAGAAAAAGCATAAAGGTACTAGTCAGCTAATATGACCTGTATCTTTGTTTGAGTGATTGAAATGAGTTAATTTACACTATATCGAATGTCATGCTGAATGTCATGTTGAACCTTATGCGTACTTCACAATGGTTGCTATTTCGTTGTTTTAAATTTCAATACTATTTATAATTCAAATTTTGTTTGATATTTATATTTAAAATTATACAAAATGTGCTGTAGTTTTGAAGCTTCGCACAGAATATAATCAGTGCGAGCACAATGGCTCCGTTTCAGTTTGAGTATATAAAAATCGAGTGTTTTGATAGCGTGGGCTTTGAGGCTTTCACGATATATAAATATAAACGCCTGATAATTGATAAATAATCAGTGCGAGTACAACGGCTCCAAAATCACAACAAACAACAGAATATAAGGTAAGTTAAAAATAGTAAAGCTTTACCTACCTCGATTTATTTTTCTAAGGCGCTCAATTATGTGAATTTTCGGCAAATAATCAATATTTCTTTGCGTTTCCTCGACGAAAACCCGGCACAAAAATGCTCATCGGAAAAACTCGGTATTAGTCGTCTTTTAACGAATCTGCCACGTGACTGGTACGCTCATCACCGCTCACCGCCGCTCATGCACCGCGACACGAAATTTAGAGCTATATGAAAGTTGCATGCCATATATGGCATGCAACAAAAATGAGGTCGGCAAAAAAATGCCGACCTAAATCTGACCTAGGTCGGCACACGTCTCGGCATTTTTTAAAATCTGTTTCCATGTCTTGGAGCACTAGTAATCACGTATTTGCGAATCATTGAAATCGGAATATAAATCACGCCTTTTTCCGTGGAAACGCAAACTACAGTAACACGACGGCTTTCCTTTTGGAGTCTTACCTTTTGGAGTCTTACCTAAATAATAGCATAGTTGCCCGGGTTTCTTTTGTTTCAACAGGGACGTTTAATCACGTATCGCCCGCTGTAGCGGGCGATTAGTTCTAATCGCCCGCTAGAGCGGGCGATTAGAACTAATCGCCCGTTACCAAGGGTCACACCTTTGTCTCCCTGACGACTACGCATTAGGCAAGTGCCTCACGCACATAATCGTGCAAGGAACAGCAACAGTTAGCTCAGAGCGGGACCGGCTAAACGGAGAGTTATGAAGTGGAGAGTTATCTCGGAGAGTTATGATTTCGGAGAGTTATGTTCGAACCACGCCCACTTTTCCCAACGACCACACCCAATTTCTTAACTCTCCCGATGTTTCCTTGAACTAACATGAGAGAGTTATGTTTGACGTAACTCTCTCTCTCTCGTTAACATTATGATTAGAGAGTTATCATTTTTTATAACTCACTGCGTTCACGATTGTGGCAATGAAGAGAGTTATGTCAGTTTTTTGAAAAAAACTTCCACATTTTAGTAAATTATTGTGAATTTACTTTTTTCTCAAGTATCAGTTTTAATATTCCACGCTAGTAGAAACCAGTAGTACTTTAGTACTTACCAAGTGAAGCGAGTACGAGTAAATAAATTATTATACATGCTCACTTGGATTACCTACAAAGCCCAACATTCAGATACAGCTCTCGTATTAGATAGAACCAGAAAACCTTTCCAATGTAATGCCCTATTTTGGCTGATATGGGAAAATATTGCAAAACCTGAATTTCTGAAAGATTCAATTTTCGCAATTTTTTCAATTTTCTTGCAACTATGCTTACCGTATTTACTGCCAAATATACGTCAAAACATGCTTCTGGGGGTACTTTGACCTTTCTGCGGCAAGCATCTCATTGTTTTGACCGAGTCAAGTTGTACTATTTCCTGTTTGGACGCACGCTATTGACGGCGCTACAAACTGAAATACTAAAATATAAGATGAAAATCTGAAGAAATAAGCTTTACTATTTAAAGGTTTTCTCAAAAAACTGACATAACTCTCTTCATTGCCACAATCGTGAACGCGGAGAGTTATAAAAAATGATAACTCTCTAACATTTTCATAATGTTAACGAGAGAGAGTTACGTCAAACATAACTCTCTCATGTTACTTCAAGGAAACGTCGGGAGAGTTACGAAATTGGGTGTGGTCATTGGGGAAAGTGGGCGTGGTTCGAACATAACTCTCCGAAATCATAACTCTCCAAGATAACTCTCCGGTTGGTAACTCTCCCTTTAGTCATACCCGCTCAGAGCCGTCAATAGTCTATCATCCGATCCCTGAGTTGCCGCATCATTTAAATTACGCACGTGCAGTCTCCAAATTTATACTAATATATTTAGCGTGTTTGTTGTGGTACGTTAAATGATAGATTGCGCATGCGTAACCGATTAAAGCGTAAAAAGTGCGCATGTGCAACAAGCTTTTACATCCAACAAGCAATGAAGCAAATGTTTTAGCTTAAATACGCTGATTCCAAGTAGGGCATGTTTGTCCATTTTTAAATGGGAGCGAAACTATGCTATTACAAACTAATAGCATGGCTTTTCGGGAGATTAGTGATTAAATGACCCCTTACCCTCGGCAGGTTTGCGGAATTCCCTCGGGCTTCGCCCTCGGGAATTCCGCAAACCTGCCTCGGGTTACGGGGCCATTTAATCACTAATCTCCCTCAAGCCATGCTATTACTTATAATTATATATATAATTATATAGACAAAGTGGATTAGTTAATCGAACTACGAATCGAATTCTGTAATCGCTGACTTTTTAATTAACAGCAATCAGCACCAAAAATTCTTGGGACCTGGGAGGTCGATAGGTCGGCATTTAGGTCGGCATTGCCGAATGCCGACTTCGAGGGCTGCGGGGGCGGGCCGATTCAGTTTCAAATTGGGAAAACGAGAAATAGTCAGTGGGAAAGCGTGCCCGAAGGGCGTGTTTACAAATGTTGATATATAATTTACAAATTCTCAGTACCTTTGCTCGTCAATTTGACTATAAACAAGACGCCTGCTCAGGCGTTGACACTGACCTGAAACTGGCGACATATGTGCTATGGTGCAATAGACAAGGAATACAAATAGTGAACCGCAAACGCATGAAAGGCTGAAAGCGTGGCGTGATCCTGAGGAGATGTTTTCGTAATGTCCAATGAAACACAAGTATTACTCACAAATACAAACGTTATCCACAAATGCACATGGTCTCTGACTCTGAACATGTGATGCGCTAACGCAGAGTCTGTAATGTATAAAATTCGAAAAACTCGGCGATCCAGATATCGCATTTGGCAGAAAAAAACACCAAGTCAACTTCCAAGAATGTGCAGAGTAGGACAAATCCAAAATGCACAGAAAAACGCGGTAAAATCCGTTGACAAATTAAAAAATTGTTTGAGACTGAAATAGTCACTCATTGAGTGGCCGCCGTCTTAAAACTGATCTGTATAGTAAACTGGAACGACTGGAACACTTGAAACTGAGCCTGCGATGCGCTAACGCAAACTTGATTTCTCGATGACGAAAAAAACCCAGGAAAAACAGATAATTACGGATTTAAGACACTTGACCTTTCTGGTCAGTGTAAATAGTCAAGTTCTTCTCTTGCTATTTAAACTGAGAATTCTCTGTTTGTCTCGTTAACGAATATTATCATCAGGGGTGGAAAAAGTATCGGAACCTGGGAACCTAGTTCCCAGAAATTTTTTTTGAGTTGAGAGTTTTGCAGAAAATTTTCCAGAAAATATTTCAACATTTTGAGATAACCCTGTTTACTCAACTTACAAGTTACAACTATTCTACTTTATTTACACTGTACACGCTAACATTAGCAGCTTTTAAATATTTGACAGAAATTAATTCTTTTACCCACCCCTGTCATCACAATGACTGGTAAAATGATAAATATATGCTCTGCAAAGTCTCCAATAAAATGCAAATTAAATAGTAAACAAATAAAAGTGATGGAATAAATATGATGATAGGACACTTAGTTAAGCATTAGATCCTTACTATGATGTTTGTGATGTTATTCTGAGTGTGTATCCACACCGGGCAAGCTTGAAAAATATGCCTGGCCACGGTGGGAATCGAACCTATGACCTTTGGAATACTAGCCCAATGCTCTGCCAGCTGAGCTACGCGGTCAGGTCGGTTCGAATATGTGATATTTCAGAACTGAGTTTAGTTCCTTCGACATCAATGTAATCTAGTATTCCAAAGGTCGTATAAGTTTGATTCCCACCATATCCAGGCATATTTTTCAAGTTTGCCTGGTGTGGATATACACACAGAGTAACATCACAAACATCATATTCACCTTATTACATAACACGAACACAGAAAAAATCAAGATCCTTACTAGTTGGTCATAACTCATAACTGTGGTATATAACAGACAACTATTGTGATGTACAAGCGTACGAAAACCAGCCCAAAGCCCATTATTACTAAAATACAAATAATACAATAATGATGCATTTGTTTTGTTATTTTTGTAATTGTGACATTACAAAGTTTACAGAAAATCTCTTGCCTTTGACCCAGGTTCCCAGAAAGAAAAAACATTTTTCCACCCCTGATTATCATAAATTTTAAATGAAAACAGCGTGAAGGACATTTCCGTTGTTTGATATAGGTAATACTGTAGCGTGGTTTCGAGTGCAATTTGGATATAACATGCACGAGTGAGTTTTTCAAAGACCTCAAAATACCACGAGTCCGAAGGACGAGTGCTATTTGAGGTCTTTGAAAAACTCACGAGTACATGTTAATCCAAATTTCATGAGAAACCGTGCTATTACTTATTAATATTATATTATACATAAAAACTACAATTGTAGTTTTAACTTACGCGTTTATGGCGAACATTCCACTGGCAAAGTTTTCCTGGCTTTGTTATATCACATTGTTATATAGCTAGCGTGAACACCAAACGTGATTGGCTGATTTGTGGTCACGTGACTTCAGATAAATGCAATGTTTCCCGCCGGGCAACAAGTGAAACATTGTTGCCCGCCCCGACCGGCCACGTACATAAATAAACAAAATGGAGGCACAACTCAGATAATTAGAAACTACGATTTTCCAAGTTTGTGTTCAAATAAAGAATATAAAAGAGAAGAAAAATACACAACAGGCAACAGGATATGCTGCTGAAACCGTTTAAGTAGGTTCTTTTAATTTTAAACTCGTTTACACTATAGAGTTTTTGTCACGAAATACAATTGTTGTATGAATGTTGTTGAAGTTGATTTTTGTTCGTCGCTATATAACAAAACACTTAATGCCTGTTCCCTCAGCAAATAGTTAGTTTTGTTTTCCCTCGAATCTTAATGTTTCCCTCGACTTCGTCTCGGGAAACATTGAGATTCTCGGGAAAACAAAACTAACTATTTCCCTCGGGAGCAGACATTAAGTGTATATTATACAACGCAGTCAACACTAGAAGCTTGAAAATTCCACTCAACTATGTAAATTTTGTGAGTCTTGTTTAAGGTAAAGGCTTTTCCATTTAAAAAAAGATAAAAGCCATATTTTCCAACCGAAGCCAACTTACTTTATGTAGCGCGGCGCTGTGTTTATTTTGTTTTGAAGCAATCTGTGGCCGTTACTTCTTTAAACTAAACTGCTTTAAACTGATTGGCTGATTTTATCATCACATCGTTTTTCCACCAATCAGATCAGTTTGTTACAGATTTTTGCACTGTGATTACAGAAAATTGCACTGTGATTACAGAAAAATTGCACTGTGATTACAGAAAATTGCACTGCTGTTTGGGATTAACTGCACTGAAATGAACCAATCACAGTCGAGTAAAATTTTTATGTATATTACATATGTAACAATTGACTATGAAGAAAACTTAAGTTTTCTTTCTTTTATGTTTTCTTAAAGTCTTTCTCTGTAATCCCCATTTCCCCATTCAGTGTTGTTTAGCTGTTATGTCTATATGCTGCCAAATGCATAATTTTACTTCTGCATCATTGATATGAGGAAGAGAGGGGTTAAAATATGGCGTGTCGATTATTCGCCAGACGCGCGAAAATAGTCCAGTTATGGAAAGTTTCCTCAAGTCATTTTGCACCCGATTGTAACTTTGAACAGTTGGCTGCAGAAATACTGGACGAGAACGAGGAACATTCATATCTCATCTACTCGTTCAGAAGTAGCATCAGAAGATCGCACTGGAGAAATTTATTTCAAGTGCAAACTCGCCTTCATGTGTTATTCTATGTGCATTATTTTTGGAATGCTTACCTCCTTCCTTTGTATTCTATACGTTTTCAGCATGTAATAAAACATATTTTTCTTCTTCTAACCTTAGGTGGAGTATCATAAGAAATTTGAAGAAGAAAAAGGTCATTACACAGCTGTAGCTGATGATCCTGAGACAGAACGTGCAAAACGAGCTATGCAACAGCAAAGTGGTGCGGCGTATACCAGGCAACGTGGTAAGCAAATCCTTTCAGTTCATTTCATTTCATTTCATTTCATGCACATGTGATTATTGCAACTTTTGACTTCAATGGACGTGCTCCAATTCTCGGTAAGAAACAAAAGAGCCCTTCTCGTACTGCCATCTATGATCATGCGTCGTCAAGAAACTGTATATTCATGATGGTTTGCAAGAATCACTGCTTGCTTTCAGTGGCGGACATTTCGCGAAATATACAGTGGGTGCCAAAAGTACGAGTCCAGTCCCAAATTTTGCCAATAAATCGAGAAAAGTATATCTTCCAGAAAAATATTCTGTCATTTGCTACTTGAACATGCGCATTGAGATATGCCGACGTTTATTACACGAGGCATATTGGGGTAAATATTATCACCATGCACTCCTTTTGCACAAACTTCGTGAACAAAATCAAGTTTCACGCCGATTAAATCACATTGCTTAGCAAGTGATGCTGTGCCTTTAAGGCCCGTTATTTTTGCTACAATTTGCTTCTTTTGATGGATGTGAACGAGTGGATAAGTTTAGATGAGGGTACATATGCTCAATTGCTCATAGTATTCATAAGTTATCTACTCGATCACAACTGGCTAAAAATCGCAGCACTGGCCTTTAGACTTGTACATAAAATGAATGTTATCGAATGCCTTTGTTTAAAATCTTATTCTGGGCTTTAGTCTTCATTAGCAATAATTTGTCACAACCTGCTTTAAAAGACGTGTGCAATGATTAGGAAGAATATTTTTTCGAGATCCTGCTCGTAGGATAACAGGGTTCGTAGCGGTCTTTGAAATCCTTGAAAGTCTTTGAATTTGAATGCATGTCTTTAAGGTCTTTGAAAAGTCTTTGAATTGTGTGAAAAAGCGAAGGAAGTCTTTAAAAGTCTTTAAAATTAATTATTTAGTGAGTATTTGATTATACGATTTCCTATAGCTGATAAAATAGATTGATTGAAGAGCAAGGTTTTCGCAAATATCGACGAAAAGGTACATTTTACGATGTGATGTGGCGGGACTAATCCTGGGCAAAAATGGTGCTTACGCTCGCAAGTTTTCGACAGCTGATTGCTCTCAAAGGTCTTTGAAAAGTCTTTGAAAATAGGCAGAAAAAATCTTTGAAAGTCTTTGAATATTTTTGGTCTTGGAGACTACGAACCCTGGATAATAAAGTGTGTAATTTGTAGTAAGACTTCGGATTGACAGGGATGCAACAACCTGAAAAATACAAGGACAACTTCAACGTTTCAAGCGAAGGCCCTTCGTCCAGGGTTCGTACAAAACTTGAAAGTCCTTGTCTCCTTGAATCTGAAAACAAAAATTTAAGACCTTGAATGTCCTTGAATTTGTAAAGAAGTACTTGACAGTCCTTAAATTCTTCTTGATTTAGTTTCTGGATATTTTGCTTGACATTCAAAAACAGACATTTTGTTGAATTGATTTTGCATGTTCATATCGGACAAAGCTGCATGTTTGAAATTAATTGAAGTTGCGTTTTGAACAATTCAATGTCACTTTTTACTGATTTCTAACGGGATGAAGCCCTTTTGTAGTCCTTGGCTTTTCTGGTATATGTCCTTGAATGCTCTTGAAAACTCCTTGAATGCTCTTGAATAGTCCTTGAATTTGACTCTTCCTCACATGTACTAACCCTGTTCGTCGGGAAGTTAGTATAGTAGAACGGCCTTCGCTCGAAACTTCGAAGTTCTCCTTGTATTTTTGAGGTAGTTGCATCCCAATGAATCCGAAACTTTCTTATTATTGGCACTACCTAGACTGGCACAGACCGTTGTAATGTGTATAATGTAAGCATTTTTTAATTTAGATGATGATGGTGGGAACAGACCACCACCACTGCGTCATGATGCACCAGAGAGGAGTTATACAGCACCTGAACCAGCGGTTACTCATCATGTTCCACCTCCCGAACCTGCTCCAGCACCTGCTGCACCTGCACCACCCCTTCAGGTACGTATACGTGGCAATTTGCCATTCCAAAGTCCGAAATTCCTGAATGTATACCTTTAGCCGTTCCCTTATAGAAAACGCTTTTCCCGTATTTCCTCCTATTATTTTCGCAGACAATTTTCCAGCCATTTTCGTAGACTCACGCTGTTCTTGACATTTCACAGTGGTGTTACATTTCATAGTAAATTTTCGCATTTTTGTCAAAGCTAAGTATTTATACTGTATTTTTCCAAGTAAGGTCACTTACTAAATTCAAGCAGCTCTTTGCAGTGGCTGAGTTTATTCCTCATTGTGTTACCTTTTAACGCTCAGTCTCCTCGTCAACTTCGGAATGGCTAATTTAACAAATAGCTTCTAGGAAATTAACACTTTATTACCATGACTTAAAGAGTCATTGTGAACCACAATGCATTGTGCGCCCAAACCTGCTTGGCGGCCATTTTAATGGCGGAATAATATATGTTTCGGTTTTCAATCCATAATATATTACTACCATCCTGTTGTTATACTTGCTTATTTTAACTTTTTTATACTAAAATTGCACCAAAGAAATGTTTATAATCGTCATTTGTTGCTATTTGTCACCTCCGAAGGTATTAGATGTAAACAGATCCATTGTGGTTGACAATGACTCTTTAAATAAACGCGATATTAAATTAACGGGAATTGCTTATTGGTCTTTTAAAAATGAATTAAAGTAACGTGAATCGGACTTTATTTGTTCTGCCTTTAATTGTTATTGTAAAATTAATTTTTAAAAATTCGCACGCGTGTTTGGCGAAATATTTATAATACCGTGAGGGTCGTACCGCAGAGTCGACTTTATGATGAAAATAATTCCGTAAAATTTCTGCTGAAGTTAGAGTTCCATAATTTTCTGGTTTTCCAGTCGTGAGGGACGCATAGACGGATTTTGGGTGTGTGGTGCTACCCCACCCCCAATATTAGCTATAACCCCGAAGCAAAATGTCCACCCCAACAAAAAAATTTTCAACCCCCCAATATTCGGCATAATAAAAAATAATTAAATAGTCCACTCCAACCGTCCAACGCCCAGAGTGTTGATGATACAAAATAAACGTAGGAGTATGTACACTCAAATAGAAAAAGACAATACTCTGAAACTAATCGCTCCTCGCTTGCATTCACTGGTTTATTGGAGCAATTGTAAAGTCTTGAAACTCTATTATCTCTGCAGTGCCCATGCAAATACAGTAGCTTGCTTGCAAGGAACGTTTGGAATTTTTACGAACATTATTTTTAGTTTTTAATTCTTTTAGGAAATAGACTTGCCTAGATTTAATCTTTACGCCCCAAATATTATTTACATCAGAGTTGCATCATAAATTGTACTCGGATTTATAAAAATAAAATCATATTGTTAATTGGCCTATTGGGTTTACACATTTACAGGTTCATTTAACTTTAACTCTCTCAAGTCTCAACAGACAATCGGACATGCCAAATCCATTGATATGACAACTTCAAAAAAACTTTTTCGAAGCTAGAAATCATGATTTTTTCAAATTTTTCCTGGGATACTTTGTTTTCTGCTCTCTGTACTCCCCCCTCGCGGCTCTATAGTGCTCCACCCCTAGAATGTAGACCTTACTGGGGTTTGGTGACACTTTGTGTTGCTTCAGTCACCTCATGCTCACGGCTCACCCCCCTAAAAATTCCACCCCAGTAAAAAATATGAAAATCCGTCTATGGAGGGATGGTTGTTCACCCTTCCTGAAAGTACGTCACCTTGGCTATAGATCCTCGTTTTCCGATATCTGACATTGGTTGAAGTCACATGCCGGGTTAAAATTCAACCCCTTGTTTTCATTTCTGCATGACTGCATGTTCATTTCAAAACCTTATTATAGTTATAGAAAAATAACTTAATTTATATTGATCCACACAAGATTTCTGAAAAACAATTTCCAAACTTACAGTATAAGAAATCTATTACTATAGGACTCAGTGTGTACTTAGCGCTTGCCCGGGGCAAGTAAAAAATTATTACGGCCAAGTAGAAGGTGCTTCTTGCATGTTGCCCGATCGGGCAAGTTGTTTCCCGAAAAAAATCAATACCCATATACTAAATGGTTTGCTTGTATGTTATTGATTCTTTATTAATAAAACACGTCATGTTTAAATCTTAAATTGGATATAAAATGGCAGTGGTGATTAATCATTTGCAATGTGAAGGCAGCACTTGACCAGATGGCAAGTGAATCTTTATTCCGGCCAACCAATTTTCAAACTTGCCGTGATGACAAGTGGTCAAAATAGTTCAGTTACACCACTGTCGTTTGTGGGACGTTCTGTTTGATGTTTTTAGTTAACCCAGGATTGACTACTGTAATCGCGCCTTTTGAATTGACAACCGGTCCAGTATTTTTTGAACTCGTTTTGCCTGCGTGGAATGGCAGAAAGACTGTTTGTCTTTGAACGGCAGTTACTTAATCGTCTGAGGCCTTTTCCATGTATAAAACTAATAGTTAACTACTCTTTAACCATCCGTTTCGTAGTTAAAAAATTGTTAACTATAACTACAGTCAAGTCGGTTAGCGTAATGTAAACGCTATTGCTTTGGTTTTTTGGCAAAAACATGCAGAGTATACTTTTGCACAGGAAGATTTCTCGAGAAAGTAGGACCCATTAAACGAACAAACACTGTTATATAAGTTGCCAAACAGCTACGCTTTCTTTTAACTAAGACATCTCGCGGAAAAGGTGCCTTCTTGTTTGACGTTTATACCTTGATTTCGTGTCTATTTTTTAATATTATGAATCGAACTCCCAACTCGTTACAAAATGCTAGTCCACAATCATGTTCAAAATGCTTATCAACGGTCGGTAATCATTGTTTACTTTATGTAATGTTGTGTTTGAGCACGGGAACCCCACGCTCAGTTAACTACGTGATTAGTTAACTATCCGCAGGGCTTAAGAAATAGGCGTACGGATGTGCGATTATTGTACGCTGAAATTAGTTTGGCGTACGCCGAGAATTTCAGGCAAGTATGATCGCGCACACTTCCTACAGCAGAGCTGAATCGTTACCCCTTTCTTTTTGCCTTAAAATCCTTCAGACAATGAACAAACATTCGCCTCTAACTTAGAGGCGAATTTTTGTTCTAACCCTGATCCTGAAATATCATGCATATATATTTATAACTATTAAACATGAAACATTGATCTGGAAACATCGAGTTTACTGCTCGAATCCCTGACCGCCATCTTTGTTTACGTCGTTCAAATCCAGCATTTCAAACGCATTTCTATACGGGAATTTTATACGAAAACTAGTAATATATACAAAATCGTAAACATCAACATCGATTAAACGTACGTCAACTTAGGCCCCAGTTACACGATCCGTATCGGAGCGACATAAAATTTTACTGCTTCGAGGTGAATTTGGCACTTAAAATTATTATAGTATAACATAATTGGACAAAAACTTCAAATATGAAAAGTTGTAAGAGCAGACAAGACTGGACCTCGTACGGCATTTCTGATTTATTTTTTAAGCCCTGGTCCGACTAACTACATGGTTTATAGTTTACTAATTACAGTTAAGAATTTCACTGAAGTGGTTAACACGAACTGTAGGTAACTTTAACTACGTTCTTACACAATCCAGAATCCATGTCTTCTGGATTGTCTATGGTCCAACCATGTTAATGTGAATATTATTTTGATATTTTCAGCCTCGTTACCGCGCATTGTATGATTACAACGCTGCAGACGAAGATGAGATCAGTATAAATGAAGGTGACATCATTATTGATGCGAATATCATTGATTCAGGATGGATGGAGGGCAGGAACCAGAGAACGGGACAGTTTGGTATGCTTCCCTCAAACTATGTGGAGGAAATTTAATTGACTTTGACTTTACGTTGATCGTGATTTATAGTTTTATGCAATGTGGTCACGTATTTGATCATAATTACACATGTAGGTGTTGTAGAGTTAGGTAGATTTTAAATATCTACTGTAGTGTGAATTTTTAACAAGTGATTTGGATTTTGCTCATAAACTTTCATTATATACAGCTATTTTTCTCGTATTCTTATAGATTTAACAGATTTATGTCATTTCAGGCCGACTCTACAACAAGAAATAAAATAATTAAAATACAGTATACATTCATTTTATGCTATTGTCTTAACTGTCTTTGCCAGTGTAGGCAGTGACAAGCTTTCGTTGGTAGGGATGCAACCATAGAGATTATAAATAACACTAGAGGAGGCATTGTAATCTTAATTCAGTAAAAAAAAGGGAACGCGACTATTGGGGGGCAAATTCAAGTCCCGGATGTGTATTCGTGTTCCTATTGGTGACGAGTTTCAAATCAGCCAATGAGAGCACGATTTTATATCCGGGACTTGAATTTGCCCCCCATTAGCTGCGTTCCCAATTTTTAAACTCGATGCCTCCTCTAGTGTTATTTATAATCTCTATGGATGCAACTACCTGAAAATACTGCCTCGTCCCCAGGCGCTAATAAAAAAATTTCATGCGAGTCACTATATGAAGGTTTACATGAAGTAGTGCATCACATTATAGGCGCGCAAAGGGGAGTGGGATATGAGCGTTCTGGTTAGCGCCTGGCCGATCTTGCATAATAGCTGTCGAACATACAAATAAACAACAGATCTAAACATAAATCCCTTCATGTATATCACCAGAAAGAATTAAAGCTATCCTTACCCGAATTATTCAAAATATTGTCGATTGTTTGCATCGTGAAAATCAAACATACTGCATGTAAATAAGCTCGTAACTGAAATCCTGAGACGAATCTTGCAAATGCAATACAAAATATAGTTTCATCGCTCCCTTGTTTAAAAAACGTCTTGTAGTTGTATATTTTTAAAATAAATTGCTCATTGTGATAAAAATGCATTGTCATTTTTCCATACCTTGTAAATTTATTATATAAACCGGCTTCTACAGCCTCGTTGAACTCTTCAAGTGTTGACATCTCGGAATCATTTAAAGCGTTAAATGATATCAAATATCATTGACTGTAATCACATGTTTAATTGAACAATTTGAAATGTTGTTTCCTCAAAAAAATGGCGAAAAAAGCCCCCAAAACTGTCGAAAAACCACGATTTGCAAGAAACAGACGAATTTTGCAAGAAACGGCACAAGATCTCCCAGGCGCTCCTCAATTTTCGATGCCTCAAGCCCATAACTCCCTGCGCTTGTTCGTCGCGATGCACTACTTCATGTAAACCTTTCATATAGTGACTCGCATGAAATGTTTTTATTAGCGCCTGGGGACGAGGCAGCTGAAAATATATAAGGACAATTTCGACTTTTCGAGCGAAGACCCTTCGTCTGGAGTTAATATTATAGCCAAATTTAATAGCAGAAGACCAATAGGACATAGCCAAATTTAATAGTCTGGAGTTAATAGTACAAATTGGTGTACAATCATGCCTGTCAAGATGCTGGGTAAATATCAGGATTTTTTGACCATCAACACTCAGTATAACCTATTGTGTGAATTTAATACACTTATTGGACCTAACCAGGGCAGGTTGTCTATGAATTTGCGGTTAGAGCTCGACAACTGGCCTTTGTAGTTCAGTTGGTTAGAGCGCTGCACTCATGGAATCGCAGGGCCGCAGCTTCGTTTCTGTCAGAGGACATTTTTCGCAGCTGCTCATTGTTAAGCTGCTCATTGTTAGGTCTAACAAATGTATAAATTTCACACTCGAATTTTCCGTATACAAAATCCATCTGCAATGTTAAGATAATGTAGTTTGTCATTACGACAACTGCGACCTTTTCAGATCGAGCAGTCGCGCGGGAATATCACGTCACGGTAAGAAATCACGCGAAATGTCTGAAATTTGCCAAACAATCGCCTTTCTCAATGCGTATTATTATCAAAGTAAATGAATAGCAATAAACTGGAGCTCTACCGGAGTAAACTTGCGAACTGTTGACGGCTGATGAATGTTGTGTATGTTTTGATTTAGCTCTAAACATTTGCCACCCAAAATGGTGGAAGTCAAATAATTATGTCGAATTATGTGTTGTGATGTCCATTCCAACAGTTCCCGTTGGGTAATTAAACCAACACACTGTGATTGGTTGGTTGGACGAAAACAAAAACACACGTGACGATGAACCGAGGATAATGAGGTCTATTATGTCTCCATCGAGTTTCCTAACCACCTTATTCTATTGACTATGGTGCATGTAAGCAGCCCCTCGCTGAGGAGGAGCGATACAAAGAGCGTCTGCTAAAGAGGACTGAAAACGGATGGCCGGACATCCAGCTGCTAGGCATTCATGCTTCGCATGCAAAAATCAGGGCTCGTACGCCCCTTGGAAATCCTGAAAGCTCTGGATTTTTATTTTACTCCTGGAAATTCCTGGAATTTCAAAAAAGTGACCACCAAAATCCCTGGAAAACTATACTTATGTGGGGGATGATAGTTATATATGTAAGATATTTTAGAGGATTAAACATTTTTGTTTCAATACAATTTGTTACAAGAAACCTCAAATGGAAAACGGCCTTCAAAGGGGGCCGAGACACACTGACCGCGATTCGACAACGCGGCACGATTTCTCGGTTTTTAAAAGTTAATAAAACAGAAATTGAAAGGAAATTTTTAAAAATATGTAGACTAAATAACTCAAAAATTTTATTGCGCTTCCAAATATTTGAAAAACGTAAACCAGGATCAAAGTTATTAGTCAATGAAAAATCCACGTTTTTAAATATACTTGAAAAGTGCATTGCTTCGTGAGACTAGTTTTTTGGTCTATAGAAATATTCGTATCACATGTAAAATTACGGTTTGGTTCCACAATTGATTTGGCACTCAAAACGAAAGATCATTCAAAGATTTTCATCACAAATCTTTCAGAATTTTGTTTGGATCGTGGAGGTTGCGTGACTTTCGTCCCACGAGTCCCGCCTGCCACTGTAGGGAGCCTCCTTACGTAATTTGCGTTGGCTTAACTGCGTCACAGCATAGTTGGAAACTCGTTAGAATAACCGTATAACTCATTATCTATGTTAGTCAGCGTTTATTCATAAATCTAGTCCTTTTTTTTTCTTTTTTTTTTAATAACTTGACAATCAATAAGATCGAAGGTCGGGACAACGGAACAGAAGTTCCCAATTAAGTCGCACCAAGTCAACACAAATACAGACGTACATAAAAAAAACTATTTACAACAGTCAAAATTAATCTCGATTGAAGAATGCTAGAATGGTTAATCTATTGAAACTCAGTTTGTGACTAATTTATATGAAAAAAAAAATGTATCAAGAGTTGTAACGAAAACTGAGCATATTAAGCATATAACAGATTAACCCATCGATCATGCTACGAGCATCTAGGTATTACGAGCAGCAGTTTATTTGCAGTGATCTACAATTACTGCATAGTGTTTTCCAAGTTCTACACCTATCTGCATCAAATATTTTTTAAAGTAATATTCATATAGTTTAGCTTTAAGGACGTATACGGAAGAAGAAGATTTAATATCACTAGGCAAGCTGTTCCATAGATACACAATTCTATTGAAGTACGAGTTCCTGAAAAGAGTTGTTCTACATAGATTTGGACGCAGAAAGAATAAACATTGGCTAATATCGATAATGAGTTATATTGTTATTCTAACGAGTTTCCAAACCATCTGTTCTATTAACTCTATGGTCACAGCGTATACTAACTAGAGCCTTAGGTTAGCCGATTTCTACAGGTAAAATTTGGCCAAAGCTCATGCGTACGGGCCACGGGTGATGCAGATAGTGAATGGAAAGAACGTAGGACGTAGGTTCGAATCCCACCGTGGCCGGGCATATTTTTCAAGTTCGCCCGGTGTGGATATGCACTCAGAGTAACACCACAAATATCATAAACATACCTTTTGCCGAATATAACTTCGTCCCATTGAGACGTACGCTCATTCTGATAGTCTTGATGAATTAAGCAGTTAAAAATAACATAGTGTTATTTTCAAGCTTCTATCTTGAAAGTGTGACTTTAAGTGCCGAATTTTGCATTTCTGCTCCGAATTTGCGTTAATCCCAACCGGAAATACGACGAAAAACCGTCAAAACAATGCTACGCTTGTATCGCGTGACTCTGGAAATGCCAGAAATGGATTCTACAGGTCAAAGTGCACCCATACGCGTGAGTTTGACGTCATCCCCAGCCTCGTATCCAGGCGCAATTAACTAAAAATAGGCACACTACAGTGTTTTTATATAGATCAGTGGCTAAATTGAGCGAGCGCGCGGGGGTGCTTGGGGAGGACGCAGGAAACGAAGCGCCTGGCAATCTCGTTCCGCGAGCCTGCGATCCTTGGGAAGGAAACGAAGGCTCTGGGATAATCCATGTCAGAAATGAATATGATTGGTTGCTGGTATACAATGGAATGTTGCAATTTTGCAAAAATTAATTTTTAACCGTATATTTTTATATACAACATGGCGGCCGTTTAGGGGTGTACGAATATTGTTTTGGTGTTTCAGAGCTGTGCTATATACTAATACTACAAAGGAAATGCAAAGAAACGTATACGTAATGCGTATAATATCACAACAGTTAAATGGAGCGTGAAAACTTTACTCATATTTGTGTTGTACAGGTTTTCTGTAGTTTTAATCTATACATAGTATACAGTACTGTCAGTACACTGTACTATTTGACTATAATATCAAATATGTGCTATATTTTGCAAATACTGTTTGTGTCAGAAATGGTCAATAACTTTTATTAATTTGTCTTTGTGTTATTTAATTGCGAAGAACTAGCTAGTAATGACTAGTTTCAATAAATCCAATCTTGCATGGGATTTACTGTTATATATTTTATTATTTAATGTATATACTGTACTGTAAACTTCTCAAGTGCAGGAGTATATGTAATAGCACTCATTTTAACTTGTAGCATGTAACCTTTCCCTATATGGGTACGTGGTATGAATATTTTGCTGTTATAATTTATTTATAGAAGTGTTCAAAAAACCTTTATTCTCTAAATAAACCACAATTTCGCAGGCAGTGATATTAACTTGTATTCCAGTCTGCATACACCTAATACATATAATGAATTCTGGGGTTTCACTATGGCATTTTGCACGTTCTGACGTGGGGTCAACCTAAAATGTATTGATGCTTATGCTGTACTGGAGTGAGCAAATGATATGAAATTGCATGTATTTACCACCAAACACAAGGCCAACACATACAGTGAAAAATTAATTCACTCTGATGACTGTGTCTCGATTTAGAGTTGACCCCCCGTCAAATTTATGACGTCATATGAAACACAATAATATACAGTATAATATTACAGCTAATTGTAGCAGAAAGTATTTAACGATTTTAATTTATTGAGTAGTACAATATGCCAAGGCAATCCCTTTATTAATCTTGTCCACACAGTAATTCAAAGAAGCCTTGCCCTCTGTACGAGGTTGTATTAATTGGATTCTGTCCAAGAAAACATCATAAACCTTTTGATCCAAATGTTACAAAGTATGAATTCCAGATTGGGAAACCATATAAATATTTTTAATAAATTCATACACTTTTTTAAAGAAATGTTCTATTCACAAAAATATTAAATGATAGTGATCAGCCACCAATACCAGAATTCATTTTCATCAGCTTCCCCCTGGTTATGACCCCCTGTAGGGAACCACCTAGGGTGCAGGTATAATTTTGTGATGAATGATAAAAAATTGCCCAATGTAAATGCCAAGCCATAGAAATATTTTTATTACCATGGTCATGACAACTACCCTGTCAGTTTGATTGCAATATCAAAACTTGTTATTTACACTATAAAACAACATATACCTACTCTGAGAAGGGGCAACAAAAACTCAGTTTTTTCCATTCCTATCCATGCAATTCAAATCATGCTGGTCACGAAAACAATTTCCCGATTGCGATACAATCAATTGCCAAATGCCTGACAATTTGGGCTAGCGACGCCCCTGAATGCTACAATGATAGCAACCTCTATTGCTATTACGAGTCTCCAACCTTGAATGTCCTATTTAGTACAGTAGTTAATTAATTAATGGTAGTAACCAACATGAAGTCAAGTACATTTCTGGGCATTGGTGAGAAATATTGTCCAGATCTGAAGTACAGTGAAATAACAAAAAAGATGCACTAAGAGCATTGTGGCTTAATGATCTAATGAGATAATTAACCAAAGATAGGTAGACATGCAGATGGACTGGTTAACCCATTCAAATACCAAGTCCAATACTTTACCATTGACGAGAAAAAATTCTGGCGTTAAACAGCTTAAAATAACAAAGTAGGGCAAACTGAGGCACATTGCAGCTTAACTTAATTGCTCCAACTCTATCATTACAAACTGTAAATCTTTAATAGTAATTCCTAGTATCCAGACACAAAATTTGGTTACAATTCAATAATTTGAAAAGTGCTGTTGCATCCCTAAACTGCTGGCAAATATTAAAACATATAAGGAAAGCTATAAGGGCAGTTAAAAAATATAACAAGGATTTGGTTTATAAACTGTTAATTTCTAGAGATGACAACACAATACAAACATGGAATTCACTATATTCATATTTTTAATGATATGTTTTATAAGTCTATAAAATTCCTTTTAATATTCCTCTGATATACAAATCTTCTGAAAACTTTAATATTATCAAGGTTTATAACAGACTTAATATTAGAATTGAGACTCTCTTCAGGTATTTTAATAGGCCTACTACAGTTAGCAATTACAGTAACACAAATTGTTTTTGTTCTTGAAAATTGCCCTTTCCACTCGCTCTTTCAACCATATATTAGAAACATAATAGCGTTAAACGGCTAAATTATGCTGGAGAAACCACAAATGTCTCTACATTTAAAGCTTTTTCAAACTGACACAGATGCCGGAATGGACAAGATTACAATTAATTGTGACATTTTTCTTCGACAACAGCACTCTTCGCGGCTCCGGGCTCTATACTGACCCTGTTTCACACGCAATATTTTCCTTAACACATCTTTTGTATCCCACTATGAAGAACATCAACATTTCCACCAAAACCCAGAAAAAATCATCATTTTATAGACGAAACAATAAAATATTTCAAACAATTTGTTTTGCTTTTGCCAACGCATGCGCAGTTCGGTCGACATACAGTTTTCTGCATGTATGTCTGACATGGATTATCCCAGAGCCTTCGTTTCCTTCCCAAGGATCGCAGGCTCGGGGAACGAGATTGAGCGCCTGGCAGAATATGTAACAAACATGGCGGACATGAGAATGCAAATGAGGAAATCAGTGCTGTACTATTTGCCCATTGAACGTTACATTTGGGAAAGATTTTATGCCCAAATGATCACTGCGTTGTAATAAGGATTTTTCCTTGAAAACAGTATTATTTATCATTTTAGCTGGCGACTTTCCTTTCGAAATTAGAAAGCCTGCTGGAGTGCTGGTCATGAGAGAACTCGAGTTCATTGAACATTAAAAAAAAAATTATTTTTAATGGTTGAAAATATATGTCTGGTGTTGGATGCAAATCATGAACATACTGCCTTTTTGCAGTTCGATAGAAATGTATTTAAGCAAAGAAACTGGCCAAGTTATTCTTGATATTTTAATAATACATTGAATTTATTTATATTGGAATGTTGAAATGACTATTTATTTGTACTGATGATACATTTTACCTCGGAGGAGAAAATTAACTGGAAATATTTTATGATTGTAGGTTTCTTAGTTTCTAAAATTTTGCCAATGAAAAGCCTGTAAGGCTATAAAATTAAACATGCATAAGTGCAAAATATGGTGAAGTCTGTGAAGACAATTTAGACAAAAACATTAAATTAATATCAACCTGTTTTGGCCATTTAGCTATTGTAACTGGCTGACAGTAAGTTTAAAGCACAAACCAACCCAATATTACCTCATGCATGTTTCATTTGTTGATGTGTATTTTGTGCTTCACCTTGCTTTTGACCTATGAAGGCTATTGCCCTTGATTGCCAAAATCTACAATGTTTACACTAAGGAATGGGGGTATACTCTGGATTTACCTGTGGTTACATACAATGCATTTGACACCTAGTTACAGGACAGAGTCTAACAAATTGAGTAATTTAGATATATGGTTGCATATCACAAATTGTTGGGCTGATTTCAGATGCATATTAATAATCAATGGTATTTGAAAAATATGTGGCAAACATCTGATGGTCTCACTGAAATATTTGTCAACATTCAGCAAAATCTAAAATCAGCTCGACAAAGTGTGGTGTGTAAACATACACATACAATACACACATAACACATGATTTACCACATGTTGTCATGGAAATTGGTCTCGAGATTAAACAATCCAAACATGTTTAGAGCCACCTCAAATACTTTACCTGAAATCATTGTCATGTTACTCAAGGTAGGTCCCAATAAACTGCTTGGACAGATGTAGGTTTTCTAGTGTAAACACAACAAAACCCTGTCCCAGTTGTTTCTGTGCTTGCTCCTAAATCCTCATGAATGTTGTATATGGTCTTTGGTTCAGCCAAATTAGAAAGGGCATATGTTCTACACAACTTGGCTAAATTAGATATACCAATACCAACTTATAAACATGCTATGCAAACAACAACCCCTATAACATTTAAACTAAAGTCTTGAGAATTTTATCATTTATTTATTTTGCTCACAACTTAAACTACTAGTATTTACATTCAAAGAAATCTAGAGCTATAGCAATATTTATGCAATTTAATACTCTTGTGGGCTTTTATTTATACACCCACTCACCCACAGCTTAACTTCTCAACAAGCTAGGCACATTGGCACAAATCGACAGTTAGCCCAGCCTATTAAGTTGCACTGCACCCTACTGGGGCTTTGGTGGCATGCTAGTTGCACCACCGACTTTGGTGGTGCAATTGTCAGAACAAGGGCATTCTGGGTGAGATTGTGGGCCGGTTCAATTATCACCACTTCAATGGTCAACACTCAGTTTTCTCTAGAGGGGGCGTTGACAGGCTGTCTGGGGATTAGCCTCAAACACAACCCTCCAGTCATAAGGTGACTGCCAGGGAGCCTTTTACACAATTGCAATCAGATTGTGCTGCATTGAACTGGATCAGCTACAGAGAAAATATACATTTCGTGGGTTGCGAATCTAATATTATACAATACTATATAGTTGAGGATCCTTTGGAATTCAAGAACATCAACAATGTCAAACTGTACACAACACACTAGAAAAACAAAAATAAACAAATCACTGCATGACAAATTTAATAAATATACAAAATCAAGCAGTAGTCTTAATAGTGACAACACTACTGTACACACAGCTCTGTATGAAAATTTTGTCAATTCAGTGATTGTTGGCTGAAAATATACTATTCAAGTATTTACAACTTTGATGTATTTTTTACCAGCAAATCTCTTTGGCTGGGACTCAACATGGGCTTTTGATTCTGGTGTTAAATTATTAAAGGATGCTTCCCTGTTTGAAATTATTCTTTCTCCTGTTGTGTGGAGCTCGTAACATTCTGTTCTTAAAATATGAAAACTATTTCTTGTACTTGACCAAGATTACATGCACACATATAATTTGCAACTAGCATAATATGAAGATATATTACAGTAAATGATCGCACTTTTGTTATCATCAATAGATATAGAAAGAATATTGAAATCTCAAGGCAAACCAAACAGCAAACACTCACCTCTGCAAACACACATTTCTTCGCTTCCAAACGGTGAACTTTCTTCTTCCAAACTTGATGATAATAAACCGATGAATCGAAATTTTTAAACGAATTGAAACAGTATAGTGAGTGTACTAAAGATCAAAGTGACAGTATAAAACTACATTCGAATGATAGTTCTTGAAATTAAACGACCGTTCCAAATCATCCATAATTGCGATCACAGGTGACAGGTGCGATACTTTTTCAAAAATTTTAACATTTTCAAGCCAATACGTATTTGTCACTTTTTGCAAAAGTGAGCAGCTGAAATCTACATATTCTGCCAGGCGCTTCGCTAACCCGCTGCGTCCTCCCCAAGCACCCCCGCGCGCTCGCTTATCTTAGCCACTGATCTATATAAAAACACTGTAGTGTGCCTATTTTTAGTTAATTGCGCCTGGGTACGAGGCTGCGTCATCCCGGCTAAAGGGAGCTTCTTATTGGCCAAGTATTACGTAATACAAGCGTGTGCAAGTAAAACCCGGTACTTTAAAAATTCAAAATAAATATTTCTAGTCGGCGTATACATACGAAACTTTCTACACCAAAGCGCTTGAATACAAAGAGTAGTTTACCCATATAGCCTTTCAGAAAATGACGAAAAGTTTAGAGTATATTCAACTTTTTCTCGGTTTGAATGTTTGGCGAAGCGGTGAGTATAATATATGATTGTTTCGGTTTGTGTAATGTTTTGACGGCACTTGACCCCCGTTCGAAAGGTTATTTTGTGAGTATTACAATGGTGGGTTTTGTTTTAAAGGGGGGTAAATACTCGCCGAGATATTTATTTTAGAAAAATTGAATCGTAATGTAATACGAAACTACTTGTCGAGAAGGAGACTGTCAAAGTTTCCGGATATCATGTCATTAGGTGAATTTACGGTACAAAAAGAAAGGAAAACTAATTTGCAATTCACCTAATGATATCATATCCGCAAACTTTGGCAGTGAAAAAGTTGATCAAGATGGGATTTTTTATTGTAAAGATATATTACATTTCGTATTCAAATGACCCAAATAGTATACCAACCAAAGATCGTATTTGTGCTTTGTTGCACTTTAATTAACAAAACCTGTTAACGAAACTTGGGATTTCACGTAGTATCGTAGTTGGATCTCCCGCAATAACTGTATTTCTCCCGCAAATAACTTGTCTTGGGAGTTGCACATTGAGAAAATGTCTGCGAAAGCAAAAAAATCCTTGCCAAGGCCTGGTTAAGCGCGTCTGTGGACGTGACATCATTGACATAAGAATACGTAAGCTGCTGTACATTTCATCAGTAAGACCCATACTTGAATATGCCAGTCAAATATCTGGTCTCCTTACACAGTCAAACATCGCCACCTCATTGAAAATGTTCAGAGGCGTGCAACTAAATTCATCTTGAATTACCCGAGCCATGATATCACCTACAGAGTACAGGAGTAGACTGGAAACTCATGCTTCCCCTGGAGTTTGGAAGAGAGATCAGTACATGATCTGATTCTTTTATTCAAGTATAGAATTGGTCAACTTCAGTTGACTTCCGGTCAATTGTTTACACCTGTTGGCTGTTCAGATCCGAAGAATAACTACGCGTGCGTTTGACATATATATTGCCAACTACCGTCGACTATCAATTCACGATCAAAACTATTATCGGAAATCATATTTTCCAACATCCATTAACCTATGGAATAACTAGGAGTTACTATCGCAAAGAAACTGCTGCCTTTTTGCCACATGAACTGAATGCAAACGTTTATACTTCTAGACAATTCTCTAAAGGGAAGTTCACTTTTAACCCAATCGCCTCATTTCCACGTTTCATCATTGGTAGCATGGCAAGCCTGCACATGAAGGTTACATCCCCTATGCCTAGGTTTCCTGCACAAATTTGTTTCTTGTTCATCATTTAAGACCAATCACATGAATATCTTCTTAACTCTTCAGAATTTGCTTAGAGTCAATGTGAGTAAAATACTCCTTCTATTCAAGCGCTTTCATGTAGAAATTTTTGTTTGAATACTGCACATAGTAGAAATATTTATTTGAATTTTTCAAAATATCGGGGTTTTACTCGCACGCACGCGCCAGATGAATGCTTGGCCATATATAGCCCGATGCACATGTCAACCATGCCACTGGGAGTACTTTCACTTGTAGAATCGATTTCCGGTTTTTCCAAACCCCTACGGCAAGGATGTAAACAGAGCTTTGTTTTGAGAACGTTTCACGGGCCGCGCTAAAATTATACTGAATACTATTTATTTCTGTAAGTACCGAAATAAAAGGTGAAAATCTGAAGACACAAGCTTGAAGGCTCTAAATAATGTTTTGGATTCCGGTTCGAATAAGACTATTACGAAAAAGATATGTCCAAAGGGGCCAAAGTTATGTTCGGCGAAATGTATGGCTATCTTACATTGTTCGTTACTGGTATGAAATATGATACCATACGTATACTCATTTTCGCTAGCTTTAAATTCGCGCGATTTAATTTCGTGCACCTTGTTGAGAAGCA